TGGAGTCGAAATTATTGAGAAAACAAACAAAGTTTTGTTCTTCTATGTATGCTTGGAAGATTGTACCACCTGACTTTCAAACTATGGAACACCAAAGAAATTGCATGTCAAAACAATTAAAGTGGTTTCTCCTTATGCAGGTGTGGCAAATTTGTTCTATATATTGCAAATCCTAATTCTACATTTTTGGAAAAAGATGCATTTAGATTTAGGAATACAGGTTTAGTCAGCAAATAAAGGGTTAGGGTTAGGGTTAGGGTTAGTGGTTGTGTGTGTATGAAGGATAAAGTGCTGGAAAAGTCCACAATAATTTTAGTTATTTCATGTTGTTTGCAACTTTGAGACAATAATACTAATAATAATACAGAGTACATTTTAATCAAAGTTGGTCTACTAAGTTTTAAATGCAATACAGGCCACATAAATTTAATTTGGGGCAGCCTGTTTTGAGTTATTTTTTTGGGAAGCAGGTATTATTACTGTTACATTACTGCCATCTTCAGTATGCAGTGCAGACTGAATACAGACTGTTCAAGGCTCAGTCATTAGGGAACCAACTGCAAATACAGTGCAGTATTACAATACAACATTGTGTAATTTGTTTAGAATAAAATTATTAAACAACAGTCAATAGAAACAACCAACCGATTGAGGGCTGGATTCTAAATTACACCTTAAATAAAAGTAAAAAATTAAAATCCCGGGCTGATCCAACTTGCGTGAATTTTATCACGGCAACTCATAATGTGACTCAGTAGTGTGTATGGCCCCCACGTGCCTGTATGCACTCCTGACAACATCTGGGCATGGTCCTGATGAGACAGCGGAGGGTGTCCTGGGACTCCTCCCAGACCTGGATCAGTTCATCAGTGAGCTCCTGGACAGTCTGTGGCGCTACTTGCATCAGATGCACCGATACACAACATCCCAGAGGTTTCTTGGTGGATTCAGGTCTGGGGAACGTGAGGGCCAGTTAATGGACTCCAGCAACTGCCTACACACTCTGGCTACATGAGTCCGGGCATTGTCCTGCACCAGGAGGAACCCAGGGCCCACTGCACCAGCGTA